CTTTATTCATTTTCAGTTTAAGCTGGTGTTGCCCAAAGCTGGAATGAAACACAATGAGATGACTAAGTACAAAATTAAAGTTCTCGTCAAAAGTCAGCAAATTGGTTAAGTATCCTTTGAGCTATATATGAAGCTGCAGCACATAAGTACAGTACAGAAGATTACAGGTTCAGCTTCACCAGGATGCAAGCAAAGCTGAATTACTTTCTTAGTGGTGTCTTTTTGCAGTTCAGTAAATGCAACTGTAAATAGCACTGAATTCTTCTGATATATTACATTTCTTTCTTCAAGTGAATGTTGAGCTGCAACATAGATGCGAGTTTTTGGTTAGCCTACACTAAGTTCAAAAATATATTTAAGTGACTCCCCACTTCCCCTCTCCTCCCAGCCTGCCTGCAGAGATGTACTGGTGGAGCTGCAAACTTCTCTTTGAAAAGGCAGCTACTAAAAAGTCATCAAGGGGATGTGGTAAGAGAAGCGGCATGCTCTGTGTGCCAAAGGGTAGGAAAAAAAATAGTAGATAGCTGCACTGGGAAAAGATGGAAGGAAGGAAGGGAAGGGAAGAAAACATCTGAAATGAAACTGCAAGCTGGGTCTGGCTGGGATGGAGTTAATCTCTTTCCAATAGCCTTCTTTGCTGCTGTGTTTGGCATCTGTGACCAAAACAGTGTTGATAACACACCCAGTGAGAGCACACTATCAGAACTTTCTCTGCTTCTCACTCTGCCCCAAGAAGGAGCAGGCTGGTGAGCAAGAAGTGAGAGAATACAGCTGGGACTGCTGGGAATAAGCCAAGGGATACCTTACACCTCATATCACAAGGCACAGAGAAATAACTCGGGAAACACTCTTTCCAAAGCAGCCGTTGCTCAGGGGCTGACTCGACATTACTCTGCTGATGGGAGGTGGTGACTGACTTGTCTTTGCAATATTTGGATTTTGCTCTTTGCTTGTTTGTTTGGTTTTCCATTTATTTCACTTCTTAAACTGTATTTAGACTCATAAATACAGTATATGGGTCTGTATTAGGCCCATGAGTTCGCTTGCTTTCACTCCTTCCATTTTCTCCCCCATGCTACTCTGGAGGAGTAACCTGGTTGGGGCTGAAAAAGGTGATAATCACAGTCACACCAATGATCAGGTTATAAATTTATCTCAAACTGCTGGTGACTAGAGTTGCCTTTTTTCTTTTTTTTTTTTTAATGTACTGTACCTGAGTTATCATATGATTAATTAAAAAATATATATATTCTTCTTCATTGGTGTCCTTGCAATTCAAGAGATTTTTAAAAGGACTAATTAAATAGCTCACACGGGCTTTCTCTGAATGCTCATCCAACTAAAGAAGCAAACATAATTACATGTATTTGGACTGCATCAGCCAAATTTAGGAAAAAACACGGGCTGATTAACAAGTAGAAGCTTAATATAGGATACAGAGGCTGCTAAGCCAGTCAGAGCTGGGTCTCTGTCAATCAACTTGGCCAGACACTATGGCAGCAAACTGCTTCTATCAGTACACTAATCTTTGTGTATCTTTGCTTACCTATTTGTTCCCATATTTGTTCAGGCTTCCAGATGAAACTTAGGCTGCTGAGGTCAACTGCACTGAAGTTAACAGAGCGAGAGCATCACTGTTAGGAACCTCTGTAGAGAGAATCCCAAATTGCAGACATAATTATAGCTTTCATACAGAATTCAAAACTATCTCTTTAAATATAGCTGTTTAACTATGAAAGAAAAGGACATAATTTTGAGAGGCATGTGATAGTTGTTGCACACAGTTTAAGTTATACACAAAGTCCTTTTGATGCTAACGCTGACAGAAGCAGCAGAACTGTGCACTATCTGTTCTTTCTCAACATGATAGCTCTTGCTCCAGTTGAAGATGTTTCATTTTCACTAGAAAAGCAGACCTCAGTGTGGTGTAAGTTATGCAGGTGTGCACAGTGCTTTCTTTTCTTTACTTAGACCTGTCTAGAGCAAAGAAACAAAAGGTGCACATGCTGATACACAAAAGCCTCTGTGCCAGCTGTCCTGCCTGACACGCTGCTATTTTAATGCTTTAGCATTGAATCAGTCACTGCTTTGAAGCCACAGCCTGAACAAAGAATGCTACTTAGTACTCATATCAGCATTACTTAGAAACAGTATTTTTAATAATTAAAAAATAAAGTTACAAAAATGTGCATGCTTAAGGAAATACAACCACACAGACAATGCATGGGAGAATTTCAGCTTGAATAGAGTTTCAGCGGAAACTCTGCCTGCTGCTGTCCTACAGAGAACAGTCTGCGCACATGCAAACCACAATAAAAGGGTGCTGCAAACACTGCTTGGTGGGAGATGTGTTGAGAAGCTGCTATATTCGCGCAAGGTAAGGATCAATCTGAGTCATAGCAAGCAGACCTTTTTCCAAGTAAAAAAATCTGAATTACCTGGGGTGAATTTACTCACTGCCACCAACCTTCCCACTGCAGACAGAAAACAGCAGCCTTCATCTAAAGTAGAAATGGCTGATTTAGAGTGTCTCTGCTGGCCAAGCTACAGCTGAGCAGGAAGGTGTCTGCAGGGTCTCTTATGCCACATAAGACTCATCATTACATAGAGCCACAGTTTTGCTTTGGGGGAGCAAGAATACCAGAACTGTGCCAATCTTCCTTTATATTAGTGAGAACAACCCGAGAAGACTCACAAAACTCTGAGTAGTGAGAGAGCTGGATGAGATGCAGAAGAGGGAAATGGAGACACCTTTGAAAGAAGCCTCTCTGCCTTCGCTCCCTCTCATAACACCTTTGCCCACATCATCAGTCATCACATCAGCTTCTCTTCTCTAATTAAATGAGTCTGGACCTGACTTGAGGGGAAAAAAAAAAAAAAAAAAAAAAAAAAAAAAAAAAAAAGAGGCCTGTGACTACAGCACAGAAAAGTTACTTATTTGTCTGGGTGATGAAGTAGGAGTCTGGTCAGTCAGTGGCTCACCCTACATTATTTTAATGAATTGTCCATGAAGTGGCATATGCATAAGGTGCCATGTCAAAATAGTCTGTCATCATCACCAGACGAGCTTCAAAATGAGTACTAGGTGGCAGTGTGCGTGGAGCCCAACAAATTGCATATAAGCATCAGTCAAAACTTCCCCCCCGGGGAGACATGCCAGTACCTACCTGCTCTGTCAGGAATGCTGTCTTCTCATCCACTTACTTGGACATACAAAAACTAACTATAGGGCAAATTACTGAGATTTTTTTTAAATTTAGAATGAGCATTAAAATATGTGAATGTGACATTTGCAGCCCAAATGGCCTGCTTTAGAAATGCATGCATTTTTGAATGATGGAAGAGCTTGGTAACCAGTTCAAAGTTGGAAATTTTTCCTATAAAAATTCTTCATATGTAACTGTTTCCTGCGAAATATTAAAATCAACAGATTTTAAATACCAGTACGCAGACCATTACTGAGGTCCACGTAACACAAATACAGTGTTGAGAACTTCTCAGAGAAACAGAAGTAGCTCACTCCTGGCTCTTTTAGTTAATTCCAGAAGCTGTGAAACAGCCTAGTTTGGTAGCAGCTTTGTTTCATTTCTTGTAGCACAGAGATTTGCTTGGCAAGACCCTTTGCCTTGAATATACTTTTGATGTCTGAGAAAAGCCTGACAACATCTCTGCTTCCCACTTAATTTTTAAGTAACTGCTGCTTTCAAGTTCTGCACCCAAGTTTCCCATCCCAAGTTAACCAGTTCTTTTCCCTAATACTTTCATTTTCCACTTCTGCTTTTCTTTGCTGGTCAGATTACTTGGAGCTGAGCTCCAGAAGCACAACGGGCTTCCCAGCATTGCAGCTTGCACATTTTCTGTACAACTGATTACCACTTCCTTTTTTATTTCTGAATAAAGCAAGCTTCAAGGATACGCATTAAAATCTTCTAAAAATAGTGCCATGTCTGTTCCCTTGCATAGAGAGCCGATCTCTGATGTCAGCACTAGAGCTGGGCAGACATCTCACGTGGTTTCTGGATGAAGGTTGTTAACAAACCATAAGGAGTACATAAGTGCTCAGACCTTCCCAGAGAGAGCCTGGGTCACAAATCAAAAAGCAAAAAACTTCCTTTTCTCAATGCTACCATCATTCAGAGCGCAGCTGAAGGCAGTAACAGGGCAAGAGGCTTCTCCCTCCATTTTCCCACAAACCTACAACCACTTGGGAAGAAAAAGCCTTCAAAACAATTTCCTCACAAAAACCAGAATGCATGAAGTGAGCAAGAAGGTCGTCACAGATCTCCATTACAAATCTTGATGTGCTCCTCTCCCGTGTAATGCATGAAGTACCTTTAAGAGCAGGATTCAATTCTGTTTTAATATATCTTGAATTCTTATTTAAAATATTCGTGCAGCAGCACACAAGTCACCTTCCCTCCACGGGGAATGGACGTGCACTACAGCCAGGCTCCCACCTGCTTGACTGCTCTGTGTGTTCATACAGCTTGAAAGGGAAATACATGGACCAGCAGCTACCTTCCCAGAGCCCACAGCCATCCAGCACAGCACTCAGCTCCCCAGGAAATCATACCTACACAGCACATGCCTATTTAACCCACAGTCCTTGATGAGCTCATTTCCTATGAACGTTTTGCTTTAAGAAAAAAAAGAAAAAAAGAGAGTCTACCTTCAGGAAGCAGTGTGAAACAGAAGCCTACAACCAATTCAACCAAAGCTATTTACGTACTGCCCAAGCCTGATTCTTTACATTCATGGGAAGTTTTATTGAAAGCAAATTTCAGGAGCCAAAATTATTTTTCTCCTTAGTTCCTCTCATCAGGTTTAACTATATTCCACTTCAACAACAGAAGATTAAAAAAAAAATACAATCACAAGCCACTTGGAGTGCTTTTCTCCTCTTTTCCCAGAGCATGAACCAGATACTTTGGTGATCCTAAGGAGGAGGGAAGTTCCTTGTAAATCTAGTTGCTGTTTCTCCAATTACACCAGCAGCCTTTTTTAGCAGAAGTAATCCGGACAGAGCAGGCTGGTTTGGTGTAATCTGGAAGGCTGTTGTAATAACTGACAGACAGAAAAAAGCACAGGGAAGGGCCTGGCAGCTGTATAAAGCTCCCTCCGAGCCCTGAGCCCTGTAGAAGTACATCAGCCTCGGCCACCAGCATGACCAGCCAGTCCCAAGGAATCCAGCAGCTTTTGCAGGCAGAAAAACGTGCCAAGGACAAGCTTGAGGAAGCCAAAAAGAGTAAGCATGTGGCCTGGTTTTACTCTCTTTTTCTACTGTAAGCTTTTCAGAAATACAGTGGCTCAAGGAAAAAAATTATTAAATCTGCACACATTGCAGATGTGCACCTATTCTTTCCTATGTACCACTTCCCTTTCACTTGCATTAGTGCCATGCCTTTACTGCAGCAGGCATTTACCCAGATGCATACTTGGCTTAAATTCTGTGCACGCATGTGCTTGTGTGTGTGTGTGTGTGTGTCTTTACATTAAACAAGGCTTTCTTTGTTATATTCATCCTGCCAGCTAGATTTATTCTTGTTTTTTCTCTATGCCAATAAGGTCATTCCTTCTTTAGGTATTTAAACTAGAAGCCTACATGCCTCTGGTGGCCATCTCCAGAGAATGAGACTCTAGACCATGTATTTTGCTTTACACACATTTTCAGTGTTCCTCTTTACTTATGAAAACAAGCACCTTGCCTTTTAATCTCAACTGGGTGTCAAAAAGTATTTGACAATAAATTGGGATAGAAATAATCAAAGCCCCAGTACAATAACAAGAACTGAGACCATTTCTTATAAGGTCTTATTACGAGCTACCAGCAAGGGATCAAACATTCTGTTTAGCATAAGCATATCTTGTATAAGTGTGCATAATCGGTATCCAAGAATAAATTCAAACCTTTATATTCTAATCAAATACAAGCAACAAAATAACAAGAAAATAAAAGCAATATCTCAACTTATAAAAAAAAGTTGAAACTTCAATAATTCCAGTAAAAGTAGTAATCATGAAAGCAAGAATACCGTTCCATCCATCATTTTCTGTATTCATCTCCTATTGATTTTAACACAAAATACTGTGGCCACAGTTTCCTGAACGTAGGTTCCAACTACATGAGTCACCAACTTGCATTGGCCATGACAGATGAATGCTATTTCACATAACAATCTTGACTTAGAAACAGGAAGCTTAATGGCATCCTGCAGCACTGAGGTAAAATGGGTGAAGATCATAGAATGGTTTGGGTTGGAAGGGGCTTTTAAGATCAGCTAGTTCCAACCCCCTGCTATAGACCAAGACACCTCCCACGAGACCAGGTTGCTCAAAGGCCCTGTGCAGCCTGCTCTTGGACATCTGCAGGGAGAGGGCGTTCCCAGCCTCTCTGGACAACCTCTTCCAGTGAAGAATGATGCCATGTGCAGCAAGATAGTGTGATAAAGGATTTTGTTTTCCAAGAAAAAATAGAAGCTAAAGAAAAATAGTCTACGTAATCTGTATATTCCCTCTACCTATCAATCAGCATCATTGTGTGATGTGCTGATTTGTACAGCAGACAAGTGGAAAAGTCTTGTCCCTTCCTTGAGCATCCAGCTGCTGCCCGCCCATGCCTTGCAGCCATGCAGAAGCAACAGCATTCTCCCATCTTCACAAAAAAAAAAAAAAAAAGGCTCACCAGAAGGGTGTTTGGGGTTGCTATTCCAAACTTGAAGTCCAGGAATAACTAGGTAGAAATTCAACCTTTCTACAGCCAGCTGAGGTGCTTTCAATGAGATTTGCTCCCCTTCTGATGCAGGGCAGAGGACATGCATGGTTCCCCAGGGCAAAAAAACTGGGTGATCTGTAAGGGCACAACCTCACATGTAGGGAATGAGTAAGGTCTGAACACCAATTGCAGACTCAGTCCTTTAGCTGTGACAGCTTGACATCACTTACATTTTTGTGTGTTTGTGTGAGGTTTTTTTTAAACAACAAAAAAAGGCAATTTGGCTTTTTCTGAAACATCCAGTTTAAAAGAAGCTCTGTAAGTTAAGAAGTCTCCAAAATAAAAAGTATCATTATAGCATTCAAGTAATGACCAAAATGAGCATCTTGCTGAGTTCAGATATAAGCCAAGCTGGGTTTACTCCATTCTGCCTACAAGTACACTCCTCTGTCAGCAACCCAGCCCCATGCACAGCACTCATGATAAACATGGGGCTTCTTCTAGATAAGCTTCCTTCCAAATCCCTCTGAGTCTGAGTTCAACCCCTGCCCATGCCTACCAGTGCTGCAGTGCTGAGGGAGGAGTTACTCAGCAGCTACAGCAAACAAGCTGTAGAAGTTTTGTTTTCAGTAAAAACAGAATACAAATATTTCATCAGTATGACTTCCTTCTCTGTAACTCATCTCCACTCTCACGCTCTTGCTGTTGCTAGCACAAATTCTCCTTGCTGTCCTTCACTTCAGGTTTTCGTGGCAATGTCACTGTGCCACTTTTACATGCCTAAGTAAACCAGGAATGGCCTAAATAACTTCAGCCAGGGACTGAAGAGGTTTTCCTACTGCCAAATCCTGTTGTGCCAAACGAGAATTATTTCAGCAGTCTTGTTCCCAGAGTGATTCAGCAGTTGAATCAACATTAATGACTGCAAAGTCTGCCTCTGAGTGAGACTAAAATACAAGGAACATCAAACAGAATTAATATATGGAAGTGCAACCAGTTAACCTGCACACACCGTTTGGAGAAGCAAGGTGAAGGTGTTCTTCCTCACCTCAGAAGCACCAGCCCTGGCCCACCTCAGACCAGCTGGGATCAGCAGCTGCTGCTCTTGGCCGGGCATCTCAAAGCTCTGGTTGAGAGCGCTGAACCCGTCCTGCCCGTGCCAAGCAGCCCTGCCCCTGCTGAACCCTAAATATGACCTCCTTGTCACTGCAAACAGTCTTTGCACAACACCATGGGTTGAGTAAACCAGATTATCCTATTTATGCTGTAAAGTGAGAAGAAGGAAAGGCCGGCTGCTCGAAGGTCACAAGTGCAAGTCATTTTCAAGGAAATGCAGTTACCAAAAGTATGCTTCTGCAAAACTGTCATGTTTACTGCTGAAACTCACATAATCAGAACAAAATGTAGAATGGACACACAGAGAATCATACATAAGCAGATAATGGCCCTGACTGTTACTGAAATACGTGCAGCTGTTTGTAATGCAAAATCTACTTGGACTACTGAAGCTCACCAATAAATACAATTACAGCCACAAAGTAAAGTAAAAGTGTAGCATCGTAGCTCTTCTTGCTCAATATCCTTTATCTCGCCTTCCATATCACATTCTTTGCCATATCATCAACTGATGTCATTTATACCTGACAATTTATTAACAGTCAATTGGTAAATACACATATGCAAGGCTGAAACCATCCAATCCATTAATTGTGAACAAAAAAGAGCTTGCTGTTCTCTATCCTTTTGTACACTGCACTGCCTTGTCTATTGTTTTTTTCCTTAAGTATAAATTGTATCCCTGAAATAACTTATAATTCTCAGAACCAAAATGTCAATTTCTGAAAACCCTTTTGGCTAAAAGAAGGGAAAATAATGTGTCATGTACACTGGATTTAACAAAACTTGGATTCCTATAGAATTTTATGTCTTAGCTTGAATTTCTAGTTTCCAATACAATGGAAGCCTGTATGAAACTTTTCAAGAAATCAAATCATGTTAAAAAAACCCACAAATATTAACATAACACTTAAGAAGAATGATATCAATTACATCCATCATGCTCACTTGGACAATACCCACAACATATTTTAACTAGCAAAAAGCTATATATACACTGATCAGCTGGTTTTACTGCATTTTATTGTAACTGCAAAATAATCTTTAAAATGAGCACTCCTAAATCCCATTTAGCAGACAAAAAACAAAGCAGAAAACGACAGAAACAGTCTTATATAAAGAAAACGTCATTAATTTTTGGCAGCTTATTCATTTGACATTTCTGTGCAGAAATTTAGCTAGAAGCCCAGATGATCTGTTTGAAAACAGAAAGATGATTTTAGCAAGTCAATTCTGGGGAAGCAAGATAACAGTGTTTAAGCAAATTAGAACATAAAATTTTCAGAAAGATTTAATTCCTACTGCCTTTCTCTTGCAAGATGTTTGAATAAATAAATAAATCACTCTGGTTGCTCCAAATTTAACCAGAGTTATTTCATTAACATTGTGGCAATACCTATAAAGAACGGTATAACCTTTCTTTATGCTACTAGTTCCTTCCCACGGATTGTGTAAGAGAATATCTAATACAGGGCTGACTTGCTACAGAAAGATGGTTAAGATTAGAGTGATTTAACATGAAGCTTGGAAGCCTGCTGATTCCCCCTCCTCCCCTCAGGTATCCAGGGCATAGTGCGAAATGGAGCCAGGACAGCTCTGCTCCATTGCTGCTCCCTGTCCTGAAGGATGAGAAAGAAGGAAGGACAAACAGGCAGCATCAGACCTGGCCCTCACTGTATGTCCCTTGGGACAAAGTTCTCCTCAAACTCAGAGCTTTCTGCACCTCACCTTTTCAATCCTGGGGTAAATCTATGAAAGACAGGTTGGCTTGCCCATCCTTCCTCTTTCTCTAGCCCACTTTCTGCATGATCTTGGCTTAATTGCTGTGCTCTGCCACCCATGAGGACATAAGGTTTAATATTAGCTCAGCTGTATGATAGAGAATCCCACCTAGGCGTCCAGTAAGACCTGGAAAAGGCAATTCCTTATTGTACATCTAAGGTAGCAGACAAGTGGTTAATAACAGACCGATTAATTAATTTTGGTTTGCCTCTAGTGAAACAGCAGGTTAAGCTCTAGTTTCTGCTTAACTTAATCAGGTGCAGCATATGCACTATCGCATATGTTGGCAGTTGCTGCTTCTGTCCACAACATTCTCGAACTAGCAGTAATTTACTCACAGCTTTTCCACTTAATTAAATAGGAAGCAGCAGGTTCCTGCTGTGCCAATCTAAAGGCAACATGGAAAAAAGAAAACAAAAAAAAAACAGTGGCTATCAGTCTCCAGTGACACCCTATGTATTGTGGTTATTCCAGTGTCAGGAACCGACATGTATGTATATATTCACTTTTTGGTTCCCCAGCTGCATTGTGAGAGGTGGATGAACTGCACTTCTATAGTTAGCCTCTCTTTCTATTGTATGCATTTTAAATGGATTCATTTATCTATCTCGTGGCCAAATATGCAACATATTTAGTACAGATGGCCCCCCAGATGGAATTTGAAATTAAAATCCCACCATTTTTGAAATAATTTAATTTACTATAGAGATCCAATTCTTCAGCTGGTAAAATTGGCAGAGCTTCATTTTAGTCACTCCCTCTGATCACAGTTCCAGAGAATCTCCTCCCAGTGCCATTTCTAAAGGAAAACCTCTATATTAAGCTGAACAGCTCTAAATTTGGAGATGAGAGGAAGAGCAATTTGAAAACAAAGTTCTCATCTGGTCCCAAATTTTGTTCTCCAGATTGATATCAGGCTTTTACATGAGTCTGTCAGTTAATGATCCCAACACTCCATAAAGTGACACAGAAGCTGAAGGTATCAGCTCCTATCAAGTAAATTCGAACTTTTGGGAATTAAAATACATCATTATTCCTCTATACAAACTATATTACTTTCATAGCAGGAGAACTCTGAGATGAGTAATAGCCTGCACAGGTGAGTACACCACTGATGAACTGAAAGGCCGTAAAGCTGTGGAGCTCCCCACCATTTTCCTTCTTGCTGTAAAACCTCACCTCTCTGTGTTACCCACAACAAGTCCGTCCATGAAATCCAACGGTTTGAGAACCAGAACTTCAAAAAGAAATCCATGTTTCAGGCAAATCTCTGCTCCTGCTCACTGTCCTGCAGATAAAGCTTCCGAAGGGGCCACCAGCTGAGCAAATACTTTACCACTGGATCGGGAATTTTGCCCAGTCAGAAACATACCAAAAACAATGGCCTTCCTCTCACATTCGGCTCTGTTGTGCCCTGCCCAGTTGACAGATTGCTACATGTCACACCTGATAAGGCTTCAGAAGCCCAGCACAGGTGCAACCAATCTGACAGAGCCACCTGGAAAAAACAGGTCTGAAATTGGAATGCACAGCTCCCCAGCTTGGTTCAGGAATGTTCTTCAGGCTTTCCAAAAAGATACTGTTTTCAGTGTACTTGTATTTGAAGATTTAAAAACAAACTAAAAGCTTTCTGAAAGTATTGATATTTCTCAGTGACATCAAGTAGGTGGCCACAGCAAATTAATGAAAGGGCATTTCATGCATCAGATTAAGCAAACATGTTCAGTTGTCCAGTTTTGCATTATCCTCATTTATGCAAGTAAACAAGGGATTTCTTATCCAGTTGAGCAAGAGTATCCTCTCCCACCCCTTACATTCTAGATGTATAGGAGAAAGAGACCAAAGAAATAAAAAAAATAAAAACAGCAAATCAGCATCAGTGTCAGCAGCTTTAAACTTAATGCATCAACTTTCAATGCAAGAGGATTGCTGCCCTATCAGTTAGGATCTGCAGAAAGTAGCATAGCAGAATCATGTCGAGATCCACAACTTTTCCAAGTTTCTACATGCAAAGCATGCACACAACGTGTAACCATGGCATTGTCATGAGATGCTCAGTACTTCCCTTGTGTAAAAACTTATCACATGCCCATCAATCCCTCCACTTTCATCCTTGACCTAACATCGCTGTGACACCCAGGCCGTGCCTTTTACCTGCTCCTGCAATAACTTACATGGGTTTCATTTCACATACCCTTAATATTTACCTAAGAACAAATTAAGCTTGTAAACACAAGCCTTCCCAAGGGGAAAAGTCTAGTTTTCACTACTGCCTAAAATGCCATTTTTAAGTTCATCATCCTATTTAAAAATAAAATGAAAGGAAGACTTCACAATAACTTCGATGTTTTCTGCACATTTGTAGAGAATACTATCAGCTTCCTTTTACTCTTAATCACCCACCTCTGCATTTAACAGATGTTCAGGAAAAAGGGTGGGGGCAAAGAGGACAGAGCCAGGAGATTGCAGCTCAGTTTGGTAATGGTTAAGATGTATCTTGCAGCACTTTGGAAATCTGCCAGCATTAAACAGAACCCAGTTGGTGTGGGATGAAGGGATCCTGGCAGCCAATCGATGCAGAAAAACCTCACAAAATAATGTCTTTTCCAATCACTGACAACTAAAATCTGTTATCTGGCTGCTGCTATTGCTGATGAAGGGAAGATAGATATTTATTTAAACACAAAGCTGTGATGAAAAAAAAAGTCATTTGTGTTATGAGAAAACGTGTAGTTGCAAAAGGACTTTTTTTGTTAGCAAACCAGCAAGATTTTCATTTTGATGTGTGCTTTTGTGCAGAGAGCTGATCTCAGAAGATAGGTATTTTCACTCTAGAAGAGCCCTACTAAATCCCTTCAGCTCTTCTACCAATTCTGTGCAGATGCCACTGATGCTCACCTTGCTCAAAACTTGGTCCAGGAAACTTCTACCCAAGTTAAATACCTCTTAAGGTGGGAGATGCACCTTTTGGGATAATGTGACGACTGTGACATAAATCTGCATTTCTTCCCTCTGTTAGGAAAGGGAAAGAGACTGAAGCAGGCCAAAGAAGAAGCCATAGCTGAGATAGACCATTACCGGTTGCAGAGGGAGAAGGAATTCAGGAACAAGCAAACGAACGTAAGTGAGACCTGTAAGGGCTTTTGCAGTAAACCAAACTGTGTCAAAGAGCAGGATGTGGACACTCATAAACTCTCCTGGCCATGCTGATTAAACACACCTGTCACACGGGCCTCACCTATGTTGTGCATATACTTCAGTTTGACTTCTTTCACAGGATTGGAATGCATTTGTACCTGATATTGTGGATTTTAACTACTGAAATTGTCCTGATTCTGTATTACAGTTCACGTTTGCCCTTTGGAAAGCATTTTCTCCCTTAAGCAACAATACTTTCAGGTTCTCCTAAAGGAGTGTTCCAGAAAGACCTCGTTTCTGCCCCGAAACTGGAAGTTGAAATAAGGTAGATGTTCCAGTTAAAAATCCCTCTTCCACTTCTGTGGAGAGATCAGCTCCCTCTGTTCCACTTGAGCTTTTTAACTGCATAGAACAGTGCATCTTTGATGAACTGAAATCATCCAAGCTTTGGAGTTTTTCTCATCTTCCTAGAAACAACTGTCTGGATATTTCCATATCTGATTTGCAGTTCGTTTCATAAATTTATGGCATCTTGCTGTCATCTCTGCCATTTTCATAATATTTCACAAACTATTCTCTTTTTGCTTGGCAACTTTCCTCATGGTTTTCTTCTTGTTTCCTTGCTGTTTGTTTTGTTCAAAGGAAAGAAAACTGTTCAAAAACAGCAACAACAAAAAAGCCAAGGAGGTCAAATAAAAACTGCCATATAAATATATTATTTCAGACATATTTCACATAATACATTTCCCAGCAGAGATCATAATTTTTAGAACATACACACCAAGTTTCCTGTATGCACTGTCAGCCTCCAGACACACTACCAGTCTGCCAGGCCAGGTGGAGTTGTCTTATACAAACAACTTCAGATTTTTACTGATCCTAACAAAGTAAAAATGCATCTAAATGTCTTAAACTTCTCAACCAAACGGAACTTCCTGGTTTAGTCTAACATACACAGCAGAGGAGAAAAAAAAACTTTGTTTTGGTGCACTCAATATTTTCATCATAAACAAAAACTCAAGCTGCAAGCAGAGGCCATTGTTCCACACCTGAGCATGTTACACAAGCAGGCCAGAGCATTTATTGCTCCTCAAATGAGAGCATGCTGTGTAAGATTACTGCAGTCCCGCTTCAAGTTCCCTGGCCCCATTATGCTGAACGTTTAGCTACCTCAGAGCAACGTCATCACGTTTAACCTGCACTAAGAAGGCAGTGAGGAGGCAACCCAAGAAGGTCTGACACCCAGCTCAGTTTGCTGGCTCGTGTATGCAGACACTAATATAATTTTTGGTCAGTCTCACTTAATGCTGTTTCTCATCTTACTGTGTGTTGCTGGACCTTACTGGGGTAATTTTTCCTGTCCCATGAGATGTTCGGCACCAGTTCAAAATGAACAATGACAAAAAAAAGGTCATGATTAATATGAGGTTAGAGTGACGAACAACAAGACTTTGTTTTCAGAAATAACAACTTTTCAAAAGAGACATACAAAATTGAAGTTCAGAACCCAAACTGGTTTTCGTAGTGCTCGTGGTGTTGCACTCAGGTCTGAGGTCACTGAACTCCGGCATTGTGAACGCTGGCTCCAAACCTGTGCTTTCAGAAACAGAGTAATGCATCAGCAACTTTGGAATGCCTCTAACATAAAACCAGCATGGGCAAAATGATGGACAGACTATAAAGGTCAGAAGAAATCACAAACTAAACTGAACATTGCCTGGATCCTGATAAGAGAACGAATTCAGAAGTGGAGTGGAAATAAAAGATGAAAAATAAGATTAAGAATCAACCATCTCAGATCAGTATTTAGCACAAACCAGGAGAGCAGGTTCCTGATTTAGAGATGCTCTTCTTATTATAATCCTCTCCTTGAGGTTTTGCAAAAATATTTAGTAGCTGGATAACATGCAACCATCTGGGATCTCTAGAAAGTTATTTTCCCCAGTGGAAAAAATCAGCTTCATAAATCTGGTTTAAGTTGTACAATCTTTCCCACATGAGACCCTTACAACTTGTCTAAAAGCTAAAATAAAATGCCAACTAAAAATAGTTACTACAGAAAATGATACTCTTTTCCCAGTGTTTACAATTGTGTCTACATCCTGTATTTCTTCCAAATCAGAAAATGTTTTACATCTGGACTGCAGACAAACTTCTTACTACGTTGCCAGGTACAGATAATTGCAAGCGTGATTTGTGCAAAAGGAGATCATAGTTCAGCTGCCTCTCCTTCTTTCAAGTACTAAGTTGGGCAGAAGTCACATGGAAAATACAACTAATGATTCCTCCTGTTTGAGGTCATCCTCTATGTACCCCTACTACCATCACAGGTTAGTCCAGCTGCTAGTCCGCCCCAGAGAACTGTGGCAGGAACAAGGAGAATATGTTATTTATTACTTTCTTACTCTGTGTGCAGAAATGTCTTCCGTTCTTCCCCGTGGAATTCTCCAGCTAAAAACAAAATCCTCTCTCAGTATCTGAAGGACTTTTCCATAAGGGAAGAATGCGAGAGATGTTGGGGCAGTGGGGGAGGAGGAACAAAGCCACGGATTTGGAACGTGTGCATCTGTTTATAACATAACCTTGCTAAAATGTTCAGCGAGTGGAGAGTCAATTAAATTCTAAGCGAACGTCCTGATATTAACTGTGCCAGAAGCTGTCTGGTACTTTGCCAGATAAGAAAATGTAACATTAAAAGACCTTGTCTGAGGCCTGTTGAGGGTTATACATCGGTAGCTGCTGAAGACATTTCAAATACTCTGAAACTCTAACAATGCAGTTTCGGGAAGGCTTTCCCATAGTTTTGCTCCTTAGCTGTGCTCGCATTCATTCTGAATGAGGCCAAATGAGGCACAGGAGTGCTGAAACTTAGTTGACTAGTCATTAAAACAGAAAATGAATAAAATGAATGGTTAAAAGACAAAACACGTACAGCATTGTTCCCACAGGGAGCTGGGAAATTTGCATTACATGGGAGATTCCTATTGCTAATGAGCATATGAAAGAGTTGCCTTTAATTCTGTTTTCATGTGTACGGTTCAACCTAGATCATACCCTTACTGTTAGAAAACAGTGTGACGTGTTTGCATTATGTTTATGCTAGACAATAAAGAGAAGTGCAATAAACACAGTCATGCATAATGTCTGCCTTGCTTAGAGGACTTTTGCTTTTTCAGGTAATGGGCTCCCAAGGTAACCTCTCCGCTCAAATAGAAGAGCAAACAACAGAAACCATCCGAAACGTCACCAGCAGCTACCAGAAGAACAAGGAGAGCATGATGAAAAAGCTTCTGAACATAACATATGATGTCAAGCCTGAAGTCCACCAGAACTTCAGATACGCAGCTTAAGATCAACTATATCTAAGGGAAGGTTGTTTGTAAAAAGTAGCCTTGTTTCTTAATAACCACAGATAGTTCCTCCTCTATTGTTTCTGAATGTGTGAGAGAAAACACTGAAGCCAGAAGCGTACAGTTCCACAAAGGTTTTGATGCGATAACAACCATGCAGAGTTTCACAACCATTTGTTGGAATAGTGTTGTTCCCTGTTGACAGCCAAGCCCCTGTCATTTGGATGGGTGCAAGTCAATAACTGCAGAAGAAATGATTATTTGACACCAGCAGCTTTTCAGTGGGAGTCTTTTTCATATCAAATGTTCTGTACTAAACAGGTTGTTGCATAATGTCTGTTTATCTCAATCTTTAGTATACTTCAAGTCACATGAAATAAAATACTACAAAAAATAAAAACAAAGCATTTCTATTTAGATTGTGACATATGTAGCAGTCAGGTTCTGGAATATAAAGGAGCAGTCCAATTTTGGAATATATAGGAGCTGCCAGTTTTTGGTGAAAAATAAGACATCAGAATAATTCTCATTTTTTTTAATCCTAATTTAAAGCAAAATATAGACATCTTGGGTAGAATTATGTTCAAAAAGCCATATTCAAGGTATCACCCTGTTATTTAAATACATCATGGGCTTTATTGTAGGGTTTTTAAGTCTGAAAAATGACAACAGCAGCAATCATTTATAAATTTGCCTACGCTCAAGGTGCACTCTAGCATGCCCATCATTACCCATACATTTACACCAAAAGCACAGGAATCCATTAGCTCAGACCATACCTCTGCTACGCTAACTAGTCCCTTATTCCACAACACGTTTGTGGAAATCCAGTCGGTCAGGGCTCACTTACTTTTACCTGAAGTGACCCTGAGTAACATTTCTCTCCACAGTGGCACAGATTTCCCTTGATATAAATTTTTCTGAAGTTAGGAAAAAACAACATGATCTGGTTGCTTTAAGTTGAAGCCCATTAAATCTGATGGCAGGCTGAGGGAACGAACTGATGGAGCTGGGAGGAGTTGGCACACACCTGCATTGTGAACCATATAAATGCTTTGTCTTCACTACAAAATTGCACTGGATTAGAAAACAAGCTTGAGAAATTGAGAAGATTAGCAAACAATTGCCACATTTTCCACTCCACGCAGACATAGACAAATCATTTCAATTTCATGGCAGCTAGTCATAGGCAATCTCTGTCCCTGGGAGGTTTACACAGCTGACATGCTGTCATGTGTAAAATGACCATAAAGCTGTAGTCAACTTAATGTCAGCAAATGTGACTCCTCAAGGCCGTGCTTGATGCTACACAATCTCACAGCCCTGACTGTTACAAGCTCCCATGCTTGATTATGTTCTCTGGAGACAGCACAAGGATAAAGGGGAATGGGAAAGAGACCAGAAATGCTACTGACATCAGCTGAAAGGCTCATTCACATAGGAGTGCTTGGAATCAAGTTGTGATGAGTTTGACTTACTGAGGGGATGAAGGAGCCCCAGTTCCAGCCCAGGAGCCCGAGTCAGTGCTGCACCCTTCTACAGGCATATGCAGCTGGAATGGCCTCAGCGCACACACCTCCAGCCTGCACTGCAGTCCCAGCACGGTGCTCAGATGTGAAGCATATGTTTTCTGTGAAATTAAATTAATATTGGAAAGTGATCATTCTGAAAGGAAATAACATAAGCCAAAACACAGCCTGAACTACACACTAAGAAAGTATCCTCCACACTAAAGGAACATCCAGTGTCAAGATGACTGGCTTAAGTTTGACCCCTTAGCAGTTACTGCCAAGTAACCTGACTTTTCTAAAATGGAAAAAGATGGTGACTGGCAAACTGATTCCAAATTTGGCTAAGCCAGTCAAAGCAGAGACAGGGGTTGAACAAAGAATTTATTTGAAAAGCTAAGGCTTTGAGGTGTGGAGTAAGTGATAGTAGGAAGCCTCAACATAATTAGGTGCAGAAATTATTCCTGTGGCAAGCAAGCAGGCACAAGATCCTGCAGTGATTCCCACATAGTGGGAGGATGTGACTAGATAGCAAAGAAATTACTTTCCTTTGATTCCTTACCCTCTTCCTACCTTACAGAATTGTACCAACATTTTGGGGGCAGAAGAAGTTATTTCTTAAATTTTTCAGTTGTGTTCTTCTCCACCTAAATGTTTGACTGCCAGTCCAACTAGCACTGTACTGCATGATCTCCCCAAGCACTTGATGTTATCAGCACTGCTCTACTTGCCCACTTCCTTTCTCCCATTCTTGTGAAAATCTCCCCCGTCACCAGCTGCTCCTCTTGTGAAGCTCTCAACCTCATTTCAGGGCTGTTCTGCACCCTTCCAGAGCTAACGGCCACATACACATCTTCTCTAAAAGACATCTTCCCATGAATGCAGCCCCCTGGCAGAAACACAAGTGGCACAGCAGAGGCCACTAGGAGCAGGAGACTTGCTGTCTGGAGGGGAAGATGCAGCTCTATGTGCACATCTCCTCCAGACCCACTCTCTGCATGCTTTATTAATGTCAACATGGCCAACTAAATTAAAAACTCATCTGAAATACAGGGAACAGACAAACAGTTAGACTACTTGAGGCTCTGTGAAGCCCAAACGAGGCTGCTCATGCCAGCCTACCCAGTCTGTTCAATGCCAACTCTTACACAGTTACACTGTGAGTGCAGCAATGACCTAGCCATACCCTCTCTACCCTCCATACCCGAGAGGGAAATTGGATCTTAAGTGCTTAAGCTTCCTGGATGTGATATTTTTGAACTGTGGCCACTATGAAGAGCTACCACTCATGAAAATGAAAATAATTCATTATGTTTAGTGGCTTGCTACTGAGAGAGAAATCTGAGCTTTGAGCACTTTGTGCATTTAAACTAAGTCCTACTTCTGGATGGGGATAGTGTGGTTGTGTTGCTGCTTGTAGCTGTGCGGAGGTAAAGGCCAAAGCAGACTTCATGTAAGTTGGCAAGAACCTTTCTTTTTTAAATGAAGAGTTGCATCAATGGAATATTGAGAAGCCAAGAAAATATCTGCAGAATTTACAAGAGCACAAATATCTTGTATGCAACATTCAAGTTTTAGAACAATGGCACGCAGTAATTCCAGTGCAAAGAAAAATAGAAGAAATGAGGTTTAATTTAAAAATACTCTTCAAAGCATTTCAAATAAATAAATAGAAAGTATAACTGGGTACTCTGTATCATCAGTGACCTACTAGGGATGACCAAAAATGACAGTATAGATCACCACTTGAGGTTTGATGCAACATCAGTTAGGTGGTGCCTGCAACACTTCCATTCTCCTCATCACTGGACCCTTCCCATGGCTTAGTGCTCCCAGTTCATCCCCCGCCCATGCACAGGGTTGTATGCTTATGCTGGGAGGTGTAACAGAGCCCAGCTGCCATCCCTAACCTGATGTCTCCCCCCCCCCCAGGAGGCCCTGCAGCTCCAAGGAGCTCCCAGCCCTTGCAGCACTCTGATGAACTCGTACCTGGCATGTACTAATGCAATTACCAAATAAAGTGGCACGATGTTAACAAATGGCACAACAGAAAGTCATAGATTGCATTCTTGCTTGGTAGTTTCTTTTTCATTAATAACTGTGAAAACAGGGTCTCAGAAAATACCTGAAGAGGTGTTGTGAAGAATTCTGTTTCTCCAACCACGTTCTTGCCATGGAAACCTGCTGCCTGCCAGCAGAGCACCATCACAGCATGCTATCATAAAGTGTAGACAGTGGGCAGCTGTAGTCTAAACCTGGTAAAGATTTTGGTGTAAGAGCAGCGATTCCAGCCTTATGCTGTTCCAGAATACACTACAGGCAAATGGCAATTAAGCAAGAAACATGAATGCTTTGTTATGCTATATTCTTCTTTGTGCATACAATACAAATACTTCACAGTGGTTTCCTCCAACTCATCGAAGGAAAAGAGGAAATGCCTACTATATAATACACAAGTGACACATATTCCTGCCAACCTCACAGTGGCCTCTTCTTCACAGATTTGATTATTCCTCATTTTATGGCAGAATAAGGCACTTCAAACTCTAAGTCTTCCCTGAGGAATGTTAACGCTTGTTAGAAGTACATGACCCAACCAGCAGTACTACAAAACACTTGGAAAATGTTACATTGGAGTACTATTAATACACTCTATTGCACTTACAGGACATGACTGCGTGTGGAAAATCTGATTACTTGCAAGCTTATTAACTTACTGAGATTCCTCATTGCTTTTAAGACAGACAGGCCGCAAAGGAGTTACCTGACTCAGGGCAATTCCTGAAAGTCTTCTCTCACCCAAACACTTTATTTACAAGCATACCAGACTCCCAACTTCTTACTGAATTTCCACACTGCTTCTAGAAATACTGCAATTTTCTCCAAAGAAAGCTAGCTTGGTTGAAGTTAAATACCATGACAGGCTATGTAGAACCCCTGTAAGAAGATCATCTTAGACTCAGTTGTCAACTGCTGTGAATCAGCACAAGTGGGGTAATACCAGTGAAGCAGCAATCAACTCATTTTTGCAGCATTTTTTCTGAGCTCTGCATCTGCATATAGCTCAGGCACTTAACAGGCATTGCTGCTCCAGAATGCCCAGAGAATTCTGCTGCTCCTTAGTAGCGTTTCTCACACTGGAACCCAGAATCAGTAAAACACCTTATTCTGGAGGGGATGGCTAGACTAACAAAGCACAAGAAAAGCAAGCATGTCCACAGTCACTACTTTTGCTGGACTAATATATGCGGCCGTTTCGACTCCCAGAACAGCAGAGCGTGCTGTCAATGAAACCGGTTACAGAGTACAACACACAACTAAAGCAAACTTCAAGTCTCAATAAAACTAACATTTTCTGAGAAAACCTGAATGTTTTGTTTTTCGTTTTTTGTTTTGTTTTTTTTTTTTTCCCAGTCAGATCAAGCTTTAAATTATGGTGTTGTATTATTTTCCAATGAGAACAACTAAGAAGCAGAACTTACCACAGAACTCAATGCAGTGCTCCTCAGGATACTGGTTGTTTCAACTGAAAAAAATGATATCACCATGGTTAATGTAACATGAACATCTGTCACAGCTTTGATCTATACAGAAATTCAATAATGCTGGAGTACAACATGGTGCTTTAAAATTGTGATTCACTTGTTTGAGATGATTTGCTCAAGCACTAAGACCAATATTTATATTCTTTGGTGGTTAAGAAAGATGTCACATTCTAGAGGAAATATGTTCCTCGCAGAACCATGTGGACTCATCAGCAAACATAGAATGCAGTCATGTTTACTAACGTGCTATTAATTACTTTGTGGGTAGTAGAGTTGCATCTCTGACCAGCTTCAGAGTGAAACTATCTTTCCTTGCAATGGTTTGCAAACATGTA